GTGTTTCTGATAATCAGAGGATGTGATCAGACACCTCCCGATGTGGTGTTTCTGATGATCAGAGGATGTGATCAGCTGCCTCAAGATGTGGTGTTTCTGATGATCAGAGGATGTGATCAGCTGCCTCAAGATGTGGTGTGTCTGATAACCGGAGGATCTGATCATCTCCCTCCAGTTGTTGTGACTGGGAAAACCAGAGAATCAACTTCAGGTTCATCAGCTGCTGCAGAAACTTACCAAGAGACTTGTACCTGACAGCTCAGGAGGTGGAGGGGAGGAAGTAATGTATACTTTATCCATAACACACTACAGTACATAAACAGATACAAAACAGTTGAGTGGCTATCTTAACTGGACATTAGCGCAGTAGTGTAGTAAATGCAACCAGAAGTGTATCCAACAGAAGCAGAATTATTGACTGGAGCACTTTGATTTAAAGTGATGCGACAAACTTGCGATTTTGCCTCTGCAGTGCACAGTTCATAGCAAGGGCCTGTTTCAGAGGTGGGTGAAAATGTAATTACAAATTGCCTCTGTGCCTCCATAACTGTACAAAGTCATACCGGTATACAATTTCATTCCAATAAGATTCTATATCTAAGTTCTCTCATTTCCTATTCCCCAATTTCTGAATATCTATTCCTTGCAAGCACAATACCCCCGCTCCCAGAGAAAGATATCAGTACCCATCAAAATCAATACATATTCATGTTTCGGAGTATTGCCTGGCACTACTATAAAATGAGCAGCCTTGATTATAAGAGAACGTGTATGAGACACCAAGTGGAACTGGCACAAACACACCATGCAGGGCCTGACATGGATGCTGGGATTTGTCCCACAAGCTCTAGAAATCTTGTGGCAAACTGAGCTATTGTACAGTGTTGTGTGTGTGGTGAAGTGTATTCTAATACTGCCAAGTGCTTCACGACAAAGATGGAAAAAACACAGCCCTTTTAGCTTGTAACAGATCTAAAGCGTGATTATGCGATTGTCTGCATGTTTTCATCTTAACAGAGTGAAAGGTGGGTGAGTAAGACTGCCTTCTGAATTAACAAAGGCAATTTTTCCTCACCGGGAGCTCACGGCGTAAAGTCACCTAAGCTTCTTGCGTTTTAAGTGTTTCCATTTTCTCCCTCCCCAGTTCTCAATGTCGTGACTGAAGCTGTCCCAGAATTACAGGTTTAGGAGAGAAATACAATTTAATTAATGGTCACGATGACTCAACACACTCTCCCTTCAGTGAGGAAAGTAAATTGCATCTTTATTGATGGCTGCTGTTTCCTGTGTTTACACTATATTATGTCACCAGCTCGGGAATCTTAAATACCTCATTCATGCCGCAGATGGGATCTGATGCCAAGGAAGGCACATTTTAAGGCACATTCAATTTCAAACAGCACGTATTAAGGGAAGAGCAAATAGGGAAACTGGTGATCAATCAGGTTCCAAAAAGCTGTCCGCTACAATGCACGATTGCACAAGCTGTTACAAACCAGACCTAATTAGTCTGAGGATTTCTTCACTCCTGTTGCAAACCCAAAAAAGGTTAACAGGAGAGGTTTGTTATTTGTTTTGGGATTACTGTGGTTGCAAGTAGCTCAGTTATATATGTGTAACACGGGTCTCGTTCACAGAGACTCCATTACGATGATATTACACTCCCGGGCATTTAAGAACATTAAACTTCCCCACATCAGGAAGCAATATGGCGCAGGAACAAAAAGAAATGCCTGAGGTGGTGGTCTGACCACACATTCTACACCGTAACTATTCTAAATCCTGGCTCATCAAGATATCATTTACTGTGTATGGTATATTCAGTGTGTGGGCCATCACGTCATGGAAAAACCCTGCACAAAAACTCCTGCTGGATTCCTTTAAATGTGCTGTGGGATTTCTTTAGGAATTGCAGAGGAAATCAAAGTTTCCTGCAAGCCAGGTACAAGGACACATACAGGATCCATGTAAAATCGCTGTTAGTTTACAGGAATCCAAATAGATTTTGGTCCCCAAATGGTGCAGGATGAACTTTATTATTCATGATAAAACTGCAAGCCTTTTTGAAGGCTTTTTTTTAAGGCTTCCAAGTCCCACCTGCGTGAACAGTGTGAGTGAAATAAAGTAGTGAAAGTACTGAAATAAAGACCCATAGTGGACATATGAGGTATCACTGCATCCTCGGAGCTGCAATGCCAAGTTTAAATCAGAGCGGTGTTTCCCAACAATAGCCTGAACTTTGCAAACAAGAAGGCAGCCAAGCTGCTGCTGTTGCTTATGCAGAAAACCCTTTTTGCCCCGTCTTTACTGTATTAAGAACGAGGGGCTATTGGAAGCCAGTTTCATCTGAGAAAATCATCCGACCATTTCTGGAAAGGGACAGTAACAGATTCAACAACACAGCTGGGTGTCTTGTTCCATACCCCCACCACCCTTTGTGTAACAAAGTGCCTCCTGTTCTCTGTTTTATTTGAAAACAATGGATTGGAAAATGTTCATTGCGATGACTTGGGCAATGCCCTTAGGATATTCAATACTTGAACCAGGTCTCCTCATAATCTTCTCTGTTCAAGTTTTAGCAATTTCAGTCCCTTTAGCCTGTTAGAACAGGACATTCCTTTAAGCCCAAGAGGGCTCCTCTTTGCACTTATTCAAGAGCGGCAGTGCAGTTCTACTATCTTGACAACCAAAACTGAACGCTGCATTCTCATTAAAATCTTATGAGTGCACTGTATAATTTTAATATAACATTGAACCCCTTAATTTGATATGCTCCACTTGTATCCAGCAATGTTGTTGCTTGCTCAAATAATGCAAGTTAAATAAGACCCACCTCTTCTGAATCTATACTAACTATCCCTTAGAATATGCCATATGGTTGATCCTCTAATTTAGTTCTAATTATTGTTTCCATACATTTAATAGAGGTCAGATCACTCATCTATAGTTACTAGGTTTGTGGTGACCAGTTTTATAGATGGGAGCTAACGTAGCTATTATCAAGGGGTTAGAGAACGTCCGCGTTTTGAGAACTAAACAACGGGCATGCAGCCATACCGATACATCCAGGAACGAAATCGTCAGATGAGTCGGATGTCAATGACATGCTCGCCAATTGTCAAAATGGTCATAACAGGCCGCGCATTCTCAATCTATTATCAGAAAGCTGTGTAATGTAGTATGGGTTGCAGCAACTGGGATCCCCAAAACAGCCTACAGGGTGAGACCATGCAAACTCCACACGGAAGGTGGCCCAGTGCAATTTGTACAAAGAAATGGGAAGAAAACAAAAAATTTATGCATACTTGCAAGCCTAATCATCTTAAATGCTAAAGGACTCTATTATTATGCGGGTTCTTTAAATGGGTAAAGGCAGAGTAATCCCTGGGGTGGCTGAACATTAGTGGTGCACTCTCTCTCTGGTTTCCCCTCATCCTGCTCTGCCTACACGGACAAGGGGCATCCCTGGGAGCAAGACACAGCATCGTGGTGAGTATATATTTATACCAGCAGCAGCACTGAGAACTAAGTGGCCAGTCATTTCCTGGGAATTTTAAGTGGAGGCAAAAAAATCTGTGAAACCAAAACCACCAAAACGTTTGCCTTGTGAAGCTCAGAAGAACGGTTACACCTGACAAGCGTCTCGTTTGCCACTTAGCACACTTGCACAGCAGCCTATCGATCCACAGACCCCCGTGAAACAGATGCCTGAAGGTTCTTGAGTGACTCAGCATCTGTGAAACGACTCGGCATTTGGCTCCACACACCCGCAGTACGTGGCCCAAGAAGAAGCGCAAGCTGTTCTTCAGACTGGAATACTGCCCTTGGTTTCTTCTTCGCGTTTTGTGGCCTGGATAAGTAGTTCAAGCAAGCAACACCTGCGCAGTGGCATTTGTGGCAGGTGGGACAAACGAGATGATACGCCCATCTCCCTGGGACCAGGACTGAACCCTGGGAGGAACAATTTAGAGCAGCCAATCAAACCTGTCCTGCGTGTCTCTGGGAGGAAGAAACTTGCAAACTCCACACAGATGGACTGGAACTGAACCTGAGACCACGCAAGCTCTGAGGCAGCTGCACGAACAATGCAAAGCTGACTGGAGAAAGTATAATTTATAAAATAAATAAATACGACTGGGAGCAAAATGACACTGCCCACCTGTTAACGATTAGGGACTTTTGACATGAGGGTGAAGGAGAATGGAGAGAGTCTGACTGGTTCACCACCAGACACTCCATGCAATCGTTCCCGACACGAATACTGACTTCTACTGTATATCAGAGATCTACGTTTTCGCTCCTTGGTAAGCCACCTCAGTTTAACAGCCATAACCATGTGCTGTGAAAGAGGGCCCTCATAATGCACCACCAAAAGCAGCATTTTGCTCGGCTGCAATCATGCAATTTGGTGCCACTCAGTAATCACTGTACCAAGCAGAAACTTCCCTGAAGAATCTGCTCCATAGTATTGATGCCACTTGAGTCGAATATTATTCTGTAATGCAAATGAACAGTAGGCATCAATTGCAATACTGCATGCTGTTGCCTGCATGGGTTTTATGAAATACACAGGTATATTTATACATTGTTACAGCAGAGTTTTAATGCAAGGCTTAGTTGTCAAAGTATTTTCTCCTTTTATTCTGCCTTGCTTTAAATTCAAACAAATCACCTCTTTAAGGAACTGAAGAAATCGTCACACGTCAATACATTTCCTAAGTGAGGCAAGGAGGACTGGGTGAAGTGACTGGCACACATCTTAAAGCGTTCAGCTGGAACATCTCCTGCCTGTAAGTTGCAAACTGGCTTCTTTCTGCATGACTGCCAAGACATGCTTACAGTAGAAGCCGGGTTTAATGTTTTGGCAAAACGGCCTAACTGAATGTACAGGGTGTTGCTAGCTGGTTAAGAAGATGGCCTCCCTATTTGAAAAGATGAAGATTACAAGGGGGATCTGCTGTTATACATGACAAAAGGACAACTGATGATCTAAAAGGCTCGTAGGAGCCTGGGAACAATGTAAATTATATTCCTTTAATTTGTTTAATGACTTTCAAGAGTTAAAGGAATTTAGCCTGCCGGACAGGAGCAATCAGAATCACACTGACCGAACAAGAGACTCTAAAGTCAGGACAACAAAATGATCCTGGCAGAAAACGCTGGGAGGACCTGAAACGATCTTGTGCTTCCACCAATATAAGGGTAGGGTGCCCTCTGCTGAGATAAAGCAACATCACATGGCAGAGTAAATCCCTTCAGAGCTGGAGTATCCCTGGTCTGAACCCATGCATTAATTAATTCTTTTAGGTTAACCATTATTTAAAGATCAGGAACACTTGTTTAGACAATTGATTCATTAAGCATGTAACATTTCAGTATAGGGAACACTGGTCCCGGAAGACTCAGAACATTTTGATTGCTGTTGCAGGTGATCCCTAAATTACTTTAAAACACCATGTGTTTAAGCAATAATAGTTAAATTATCCCTGGCATTTATTTATTGATTTAAAGACTACCTATAAAACCTACTGAACTTTTGTTGTCCAGGACCATTGCTACTGAAGCCGGTTTTGGAATGTGGTCTCTTTTGGCTGTTGATCCAGCAGAATTCATAATTAGAAGCTAATTAACTTCAGTTTTATTTTTGTGGCATATTTGTCAATTTCAGCTTTCAGCTCTTAAAAGCTCCAATGATTTGGAGTTGGTCTCAACTCCAAGTTTCAGAACTGTCCTCATTCAAACATGTTGCCTCAAATGTAATCAACTGGACCTCTGGAGGAGGAAATATTTCTCACTGCGGGCGTGTATGATAGTGTCACCTGTGTCTGTTCGCCATCCTTTGATCAGCCTACAAGAGCGGTTTAGTCAGAAATAATAGCAAGTGAGTTGAGGAGAGGTCTGTGTGTTGAAGCTGTTAAAAACTGTACCCTTGAAGTCGGCGATTTTTGAATGTGAGTGATGAGTGAAGAAATAAGTTTAAACAAGTAAGCAGATCAATTAAGACATTACCGCTGAAGGTGTAGACCTCGGACAGAATAATAACCAGCAGATGCGGTGAAAGTTCAAATTAAACTATTAGGTTATTAATATTAGGACTATTGAGCCAATTAAGGTTAAGCTATGCAGCTAAGCGCTCAGCCTGAATGGCAAGAGCAGGAGTTTTATCAGGACACTCAGTCTACAGGTACCCTAACTTAAGAGGCCCGTCTATCAAGAGTGCAAAGCTGATTGATGGATCTGTAATGAAGAACGGGAAGAAGAGAAAGGAACAGCAAGTACACAGAGGCAGAGCTCGGGTAGATTCAACCAAGACAAGATATCAGTTGCTTTCTGAGCCTACAGTAAAGACACTACAAGTAAAAGGCACTTTGTTTCTCAGCAAGGATATTTCACGCTGTTTTTCTGCAACCATTACAGTATTCTCCTTATTTAAAAATTAAAATGAGAATACTGGCAACGGAAGGTACAAGGAATATTAGTCACATATTAAAAAGAAGAGGTTTAACCTACAATGCATCTTCTAAGAGCAGCAAAGATGGTGCCACCGCCTTTCAGAGCTACTCTGAATAAAGAATGAAAACTGGTTAAACAGAAGAGGAAATGGACACAAAGGCATGAAACAGAAGGTCTTTTGTTTCCCAGACCACACTATGGATTGATATGATGACTGAATAAGCAGCAATAAAAAAGGCTCAAGGCTAACAAAGATTTCTACTACATTAGTTTCACATCCATGAGGCACCACAATGCAGCGGTGCCGATTAAGACAATCAGAACAAGAGGTCACCCTCTCTAATCAATTACCAGCACACGTGAACTAACTGGTGGCTTAAATGAGATAGGGTCGTCCTCATACCTATTTTGAAAGCACCCTGAGTAAAAAATTACATTGGCTCTGAAACAGCTGGAATCAGTCCAAAAACAACATTCCACTCAGCTATTTTAAATACACTGCATGCCAGACTGCTGTGGGGAGAGACACTTCCCCGCACTATGGCACCTGGAGCGGAGTGCTGTGCTACTATTTTAATATAATAGCATAAAAGATCTGGCACTATCTTCCGGTTTCAAAAAGCCTTGAATGCACTGCAAATGAAAAGCACAGGCAAGGCAGAGGGAAGACAAGCCTTGCAGACTCACACACCACAATGAAACATGCAATGGTCTGAAAAGCTATGAGTCGGGCACTGTGCCAGCGATATGACTAAGTTTGCTCCTTTTCAGTCTCCCCACCTTCCAGTGCACCAATTACCATTACAAAAACTTTTATTTGACAGGAAATGATTTCAAGAGCTTTGCGTTTCCCTGAAACCAGCAAGATCTCCTAAAAGGCTTCACTCGCTCACAATACGTCTTATCTGGGCAAAACCACGTATGTAGTTTAAATTAAGGCATCAGCAAAAAGCCCTTTTCATGAGCAAGTGTGGACACGGTGATCATCACAGTTTTTCTACTGCTTCCTTCGATGCAAAATCATCAGCATGTCCTGTGGAAGAGCCCCTCTATTCTTCATCTGAAAGGTGAAGATCGTTTCATGGAGTGCAGTGGGGAAAACAAACAAACAGATGGATAAAAAAAAAAAGTGGAAAAATAAAGAGAAAAATATCGCGGTATTTGGGCTGTTGTGATCCCTTGAGTAATCGAATTCGGAAAAGCCTCACGTTCTCGAACGGGTGGGTGCGGCAGATACACGGTCATCTTAGTCGGGCTCATCATCCAGTACTAACGTGGGAAACGGCTGCCCCCCCTCACCCAGCAGGGAGTATAGCCCACGGAGCACAGCTGGGGCGGGACGTCCCGAGGACAGTGCGGACTGTAGCCAGGGGGTCACCTCTTCGCCCATCACCTGCGCAGAACAGGTAGAAGGAAGACAAATACTTAGTTATGCAAAAGGACTGTCTTATGCAGCAGGCCGGTCTTTGAGGGGAACGGTATGAGATCCGATCTGCCACTAGTAGCCGTAAATCATCTGTTATAAATGGACACAGGGGGAGAATTAGATTGCTGATGGACATGAAACACACCCTCATGGGGGTTTGATGAATGTACAATATAGAGAGGTACAGATCACCAACCATATACAAGATCTCTAAAATACAGGGGTGTGCACTCAGCACCTCCACACCCATCTTATTGTCACATTGAAAAAATAATTCTAACTTTAAACTCTTCATGCGCTATACAGCCATTGATATAACCATCCAAACAAACGTTAAACCAGTATCACTAGTTTTCATGTCAAAAGGTGTTGACTTTTTAATAGAGCTCACTGCCGGCAGTGACATCTGTCACTGCACATTAATTCAGGATTTTTTTTGTGTGTATCCAAAGTGGTTTTCTCTGCAACCAGACTCTACCACACTACATCTTTTTGGAAGAGTACAGTCTAGGACTATAATATTTCCTGATATAGAGATTTAGCGGCAAGGAAACCCATGATGACTACTACCTTCTGGAGATGGATCTGTTGCTGCAGGATGTCCACTCTGAGTCTCAGCCCTTCAAGCTCTCTCAGCTCCTTTGCAGAAGAGTAACTTAGGACTGGAAGGGACAGAGCTCCAGCACCTTTCTGTCCCCAGAGCCTCCACATCTTCACTGGACAGTGATCACCAGGAAGAAATCTCTCCCAGGCCTCCACCGCTGCAGAGAGGAACACATGGCTGTCAGATCTGCTTTCACTCTGGGCCAGTCGGTCCTAAAAACATGATTTAGTAAGAAGAACTCCCTTCCTCTCATGTGAACTCAAATATCTTATTCCCAGATCTTCCTAGAGTGTTATGTCAACACGGACTCTTTCCGACTCCATTGTGTAAGCATGGCTCTTTTCCGGGTCCAGCCTCTAGCACTGGGACAAACATACCTTCCCTCAGCTGGTCGGTTCGCTGAAGAAGCCCTGAGGAGGTCTCCATGAGGCCTTCCAACATCAATAGACTCTCGTACTCCCTCTCCCACCTGGAGGGACCTGCAACCACACAGCGAGAGAAACATGTCTCCGCAGGACTCGTTTCTTAATTTTAATTTTTTTTCGATTTAATTCTTTGAGCCCATCGAGAATATATTCTTGTGTATAAGGGCGACCCTGAGAGTACCTATTTCTACAACAGGACATACACTGGAGCTAAATCAGCAGCAGCACTGTCACTCGGAGATCTGAACCCACAAGTCTCAGGGGTCTGGTTTTCAAAATGCATCCAGCATTTTCTTTTTGGATGAGCAAGGCACTATTGAATTGACCTCTTTTAGAAAAACGCACCAACTACCTAACTAAAGCTCTATTCTCTACAGTACAGGTAATTAGTGCTGCTATGTTCGCTGGGCCTAGACTAGTTTGCAGGATCTCGACTGTTACAAAAAAGAAGGCTAAACTGTGTGGTGTGCCAGACATGACTGTGGGTATTTCTCGGTCAGAAGGAGCTCCTTGAATTTTTCCATGATCTGGCTGCTGCAAAAACATGCACCGAAGCTCGAGTCGCAACCTCGAGATATTAGTCCACAACTGTGAGCTTGCGCACCAATGTACACCTCACGAAAAAGAAAGCAAAATGTGTAAAACTATACTGACCTACTGCACGATTTTTTTTTAATAACGAAGCACCTGGTAACTTCTGCACTAAAAATCTGTGACTGCATGTAAACGTTAATAATAAAATAAGAGCTTTCAAAGGCACGTGAATCCAGGTGTACACTAACACTCTGGGGGAAGCCCATTCTTCATGAGAGAAATGGTGTCTCGAGCACCCTGAAGCAGTTCCAGTCAGGCAGTCGACCCACCCCCCCCGACCAGGCGTCCTAACTCTGCCCCCCGGTATCGCCCCGCCCTTGGCTCACCTGTGCTGTCGGTGCGCTGCTCAGTCCGCCAGCACTGCGCGAGGTCAGAGCACCGTCCCCGGAGGCTGGAAACCTCATCCTGCACGTCAGCCAGACTGCGGGAAGGGACCTGCGGGTGGAACTGACGAGAGCGTGTCAAGGAGACCACAACGCACAAGGAAGGGCGATCCCCCGCCGGAAGCCTCTGTCCGGCATGATTTAGTCTGGCTTAGAGAAATTAAAAAAGAAACTGAAAGCACTAAACAGTGAGGGCTTATATATATATATTTTATTTTATGTATACTTTATATTAGAAGAAATAAATCAGTAGAATGGGTCAAATATAAGAACAAAAATCACAATGGCATTAATACGTCCATTCTTATTTTCTAACCAGTATTTAAAATTCTATGTGAAGAAATCATCACGTGGATATTTCTATCTTTTACATCTAAGAAGTCTCTCCTAAGTTGGTCATTCACCCTTAACTAACCTTCTCATTAAGGGCTTCAATTTGAAAGTACTCCCTAGAAGGATTCAGTGTTTTAAATTCAGGATTTGCACACTTCAGGTTTTAGAATCATCTCCCCTTTTCCATAATGCAACAGCATGCGAGAAGGACTACACGATCAGTGTGAACTAATTAAAATGGTGGAAGGCTGTGATGATTCCAGGATCAAAGTCCTGAGAACAGTACAGAACAACTGTTTATAACAAAAGTCTACGCACCACTTTAGTGTAGCCAACTACTTAGATAAAAAATATATCCCCTGAAATTTTATTTTTGATTAGTATATTTGTCTTCATAGTAGAGAGATGCTTGATAGTCTAAATGCACTGAGAATTCACATATACTTTGCACAGCCACTGTTAAAAACATATATGAATGTTTGTAAATGTTGCTTTTGTTTGCAATACATACTTAATTGAAAGCTGGGCTTTGTCATTAGCTGACTGGCGCTGCTTGGCACATTGTGGGCATTTTAGCAGGTTTTTGTTGCTGGCGTGGCTAGGCAGAGGTTGGAGTTGGCAGTTTGCGATGTGTACCCATATACTGTCTAACAACACTGACTCCTGTGGACTGTCAGGAGCTTGAGAGCTTGCAGTATAGTCAGCGTCGGCAGCCGTGGTCCTCCATGCGAAGCTAGATCTGCTGTGAGGGTGCTGGGAAGCTCAGAGTGTGAAGACATTACAGATGACGGTGCACCTTTTGCAGAAAGGCACATCACTTGTTCCAGATAAAGGATACAGTGCTCTGTAGTCTCTCCATGAATTGTGTCTTCTCTGGCCCTGGGTTGGCCGATAATGTGGACACTCTCTTCCACAGCCTGCAATGAAGAAAACAGTCAGAGGTTCAACTCCTAGATGCCCCGATTTCTGCAATTAAAAAATATATATACTTAGTGAGTATCAAAAGAAACATTTAACTATTTAGTTCGAGTAGGCAGCTGTGTCAGCAGGCAGCAGGCATAGTCTGCAAAGAAACAAGTAAAGGTTTATTCCATGCTGAAAAGAGAAGAGAAGAAACACGTTTCGGCTGTGGAACCTTCATCAGGCTAAAGAACACACCTGAAGAAGGCTCCACAGCCGAAATGTGTCTTTTCTTCTCTTTTCAGCATGGAATAAATATTTACTTGTTCCTTATTTCACTCTTTATGCATGTGTGTTTCTAGAAATATTATTCAGATTTTGGATAGTGATTAAATCCTGGGACATTTTGATTAACTGAACATTCATGATTGATCCTAGCACACTATCAAACACTACATTTCTTACAGAACTACTGAGCCACCTCCTTACAGGAAGAGAGTTAATTTGGGCAGAGGTGATGTGGTGAATTACCCTGTTCAGAGTAAAGCCTGGGACACACAAGACAGAATCCGCAACCTGGCACAAAGCAGATCTAAGCAGATCTTAGTTGGAAGCAATACCAAATAATACATAACTGCTTATGTAAATTAACATATTGTGGCATTTTCCCTAGGTTTTCAGCAACTGAACCACCTGCCTCTTTTTAACAATAACAGAATTAGCACGATTCACACATCAAAAAATGCTTTCATAATACATGCGTGTACAGTTAATCAGAATTATAATACATATAAAGCTGAACAACTGTAGAGGTGACCGAAATACATCTAACATCCTACCAATGACAGATAAAATGACTAAATATTTTGAAGAAAGCTGGTATCTGTTTCCTCAGATTTACGGTGTACTAATCCCCTTGTTAATCCTCTCTCTGAGAGGATAGAACACGTTATCTGCATTTTATCGTCTTCTTTCCCAGAGATGCACTGGTGCAGCACGGGAGACAAGGTGTCAATTAGGTAGAAGGTGTTCTGGCACATTCCAGCAGACACCAGCCTCTCCTGAGCCAATGTGTGCCATCGCCAGGAGCCTCAGGCACAGGCCCTGAACAAGCCAGGAGTCCACGCCACATCCTTGCAGGACTCACCCTGGAGTCCGTAAGCTTTAATCACATTCTTATGAAGGAATATCTGAACACACTGACCTGCACTGTTTCACCCTCTGCTGTCTCCAGACTGCAGGGAGCTGTAGGGACTGCCTGCAGACGAGAACAACAAACCCCAGTGTAAGACAGGGATGGGTAAAGAACCCTGTTGCTGGAGAGCCACAATCCAGCAAGTCTCACAGGTAGGCCCTGGTCTTGATCGCATGACCTTCAAGGCTCCTACCCTGTAGTTCAATCAACATCATTTAGGCATCTCTGTAGGCACTCTAATCACAGCAATCATTAAGTAATCAGCATAGGAACTGTGATTAATTCAACAATTAGAAACTTCATATGATGAGTTTAATTGGTGCAAATCAATAAATTGGTGCAATTAAAGTAGATTAACAACTGACGTGTGAACTACATCAAAAATGCATTTCACTGACAATGAGAACAACATTATCCACCTTGTGTACAGTACACTGACAGACTGGACTAAAAAAAAAAGTAATAAAAGACTGATACAAAACGAGACGAAAACCACAAAAACTAAAGGCCGAGACTGACAGTGGTGAGAGGGAGCCCTCTGGGAAAAAGGAAAAAGAAAGCTGGAATACCAGCAGGCTGTAACGTGCGATTTGACCGAGTTCTTGGTCTGCCCTAATAGCCTCCCGGAAAAAGTCGACCATCTCGAGACAGCTGCTTTTCTGAACCAATAATTTCTACAGCAAGAAGAAGACAATCTACACACGGAAGGCAGTACACTGGAGTTGAACCCGGGAATCCTTTGATGCCACGGCGCTTTATAACGATGACAGCTTTAAAACA